CCCCCATACCTTGCCCCATCCGCCTCTCATGGTACACCTGCACCTTTTATAATAAACCACTAAAGGTAAGTGTTCCCCCAAGTTCTGTGAACCATTCTACCATAATTAATCAAACTCAAGGAGGGGGTCATAGAACCTTGGTTTGTAACCAGTCGGTCAGAATAGACGACAGTCTACTGCTTGGGATTGGTGTCTGAGATGGTAGGCCGTCTTGTGGGACTGAGCCCTCAAAACGTGATCCTGATGCTGTCTCGGGATAGATAGTGCTAGAGTTGAAATGAATTGTTGGATGCTCGGCTGGTGTCTGCTAGAGAATTGCTTGGTACTTGGGGAGCCCCTCTTACCGCTCACAACTGGTCACAGAAGTGTTCTGTGTTGAGCATGAGAGTAGAGGGGAAAAACGGAACGTTCCTTTACAGGGAGATTTGTGGAGGGTTAAGAAAAGGTGAGGGAGGGGGAGGGGAGGCAGCTAGTGTTTGCTGCTGTCCTTTCTGGCTAAGACGGTTCTAGGACAAGGAGATGGTAGAGAGAGGGTGAGGGAAGATTTGGTTTTTAGGTTCTGGTCAGAGAAGCAGAGACTCAATCCTGCAAGCCCAGCTTACCTCAAATAGTTATAGGAAAGGAGAGAAAATGATGCAGAGGGATTTCCCGCCAGCAGCCTCTTTGGGAAACGACTCCATGAGCACAGGCTGTACCTTGTTTGTTTTTTGGTTTTGGGTTTTGTTTTTTTGTTGTTTTTTTTTGAGACAGGGTCTCACTACCACCCAAGCTGGAGTTGCAGTGGCATGATCATAGCTCACCATAACCTCGACCTCCTGGGCTCAGGCAATCCTTCCACCTCGGCCTCCTGGGTAGCTAGGACTATAGGTGGGCACCAGTATGCCTGGCTACATTTTTTATTTGTATTTTTTGTGGAGAAGAGGTTTTGCTATGTTGCCCAGGCTGGTCTTGAATCCCTGGGCTCAGGCTATCCTCCCACCTTGGCCTCCCAAAGTGCTGGGATCACAGGCGCCTGGCTTGGGTGTGCCCATTGAGAGTGTCAGCACATTGTAGAAATTGTCATTCTCCACCCGGAACCTGTTCTTGGCCCCTCACCCCCGTAGGAGCCTGCGGCGTCTTCCAGGGTGCCTAGGATGCCCTGTTCCTGCCCCAGCCCTCCTGTGTGATGTTGGACATATCTCTGTGTTACCCAGACCCAAGCCACCCACTGTGCATCTCCTCACTTCTCAGTCCCTATGGCGGCTCTTGGAGATGAGAGAACTGTTTCCTTCCTCTGCAGGGGCAGCTTGATCATTGTCAACCAACACTTAGGGTGCTTTCATGATAGTGGCCTAGAAATCAGAGAACAACACCAGACAGACCTGTGCCTGGTTAACAACCATGGATGACTCACTCACCCCTTCTCCACCTTGCTTGTCCACCTATCCAGCAGAAATTCTATGGTGTCCACCCGGGCGTGGTGAAGAATGCCTATAGACCCAGTTACTTGGGAGGCTGAGGCAGGAGGCTCTCTTGAGGCTGGGAGTTTGAGACTAGTCTGGGCAACACAGCAACATGCCGTCTTAAAAAAAAAAGGCAGAGTGAGGTGGATCATGCTTGTTGTAATCACAGCACTTTGGGAGGCCGAGGTGGGAGGATCGCTTGAGCCCAGGAGTTTGAGTCCAGCCTGGGCAACATAGCGAGATCTTGTCTCTACAAAAAGCAAAAAAATTAGCTGGGTATGGAGGCGTGCACCAGCTCCTCAGGAGGCTGAGGCGGAAGGACCGCCTGAGTCCAGGAAGTCAAGCTGCGGTGAGCTGTGGTGCCACTGCACTCCAGCCTGGGTGACAGAGCGAGACCTCCTTCTCCAAAAAAAGAAAAGAAAAAAAAATTCTGTGGTCTCAAGAATTCATCTTGTGGTGGGGGAAACAGACACATAAGAAATAATTTTTGTTTGTTTTGAACAGCCTGTGCTGTTGCCCAGGCTGGAGTGCAGGGGCACAACCATAGCTCACTGCAGTCTTGAACTCCTGGGCTCAAGAGATTCTCCCCCCTCAGCTTCCTGAGTATCTTAGACTACAGGCATGCACCACCATGCCTGGCTAATTAAAAAATTTTTTTTGTAGAGACAGGGTCTTGCTTTGTTGCGCAGGCTGGTCTCAAACACCTGGCCTCAAGCGATGCTTCCACCTTGGCCTCCCAAAGCACTGGTATTGCAGGCGTGAGCCACCATGCCTGGCCATAAGAAATAATTTTGAGATGGGACAACATGTTTCAATAGAAGGATGGTCAGAGTCCTGTGGGAACCTCAGTGGTCGAATGACCCCGAGGCTGTGGGACAGCCTCACAGAAGAGTGAGTTGGGAGCAGGATCTGGAAGGAAGAGGGACTGGATAGCTGCAGAGGAGGACAGGAAAGATGGCAGGGCTTGACACCTCGTGGTGGTCTCTGCTCCCTCGCGCTCCCAGGAGCACCTCAGGCGTGTCGATGGAGAAGCCGGATGGACACACTCAGCTGCATGTTTGCAAAATAAGCAGCTTACAGAACGGACTAAGTAGATTACATGGCCTGAGACCAGTGCGTGCAGGCATGTGTCTTAAAGCGGAGGTTCAGGTGGGACGCAGCTTGAGGGCACGCTGTATGAAGAAGGGGTGACCCTGGAGCCTCAGGACTGGGGCTTGCGTCAAATGGGTGGTGCTGCCAGCTTGCTTGATGTCCTGAACCTCCGCATCTTCATAGGTGAAGTGGTGGTGATCGTTTCCACCCTCCCTGCCCCACGATCAGGAGAAAGGACGTAAGCTCCATGCACGTGTTCACGGCTTTCAGGGATCTTCACACGTTTGTGTGCTCACAAAACTCCTCGTTCAGGTTGTGCAGTCCACGAAGCAGCCGTGTGTCCTCTGTCCCCTGGGACCTGTTCTTGGGGGCATGTTCTTTTTGGGAAGTGGTGCTGGGGACAGCTCATGCACTTGGAGGAAGAGGTGGGACGCCTCTAGACCACCGTCTCATCCCCTGCCGGCTTCCTGAGGCAAAAGCCTGCAGACCAGGCAGCAGGAGGCATCTGGTGAGAGTCTGGCCCCGAGAGGACCCCGTTCCAGCTGCTGTGGCTTCATCACCAGGGTGACACCTCCCACGCAAGTGGACTTGCAGGGCTGCAGTGGGAACAGCGGACTGAGCCGGCAGGATGTGTTCTTTGCTTTCTGTTTTAGTTCTTCTAACTTGGGCTGTGGAGGGGCCTGCTGAGGCCCTGGGAAGGGGAAGTGCCCAGGGGTGGGACAGAACTCCCTAGGTAGAGGGGCATGGTGGTGCTGGGGGTAGGGGAGATCAGACATGCCCCATTAAGATCCGTGATAAGTATGTGCCAGAGCACCCCTGCCTACACTCGGGCAGGCTGGGAGAAGGGAGAGGAGGGACAGGTAGAGAGGGCTAGAGGGTCCCATTTGTGGAGGAGCTAGGGTGAGACAGGCAAGGCCTCTGTGTAGGGGCCCCTGGGGGAGACATGTGGGAGCACACGTGCCTGCGGTGAGTTTCAGGTCCCCAACTCCTGCTTTTTCACTTCTCCGTGGCTCCCCTGCTGCTTCAAGGTTGGAATTGCTTCTGCTCAGAGCCTAGCGGTGGCAGGGATGGGGGGAAGTGGGCGTGGACATCAGCACATCCAGCACCTCTGGTCCACTCAGCCTGGTCATCCGTGGGGCAGTGCCAGCTGCCACCCCTAGCCACATACCACTCTTAGCTGCCAGGCAGCTCTCCATCCTTCTGTCCTGTGGGCCATGCTGGGTCTGGGTGCTGTCCTTGGGCACGTATGGATGGTGCTGTTTCCAGAGAGTTTTCAGGGAAGCTTTATTTAGCATTTTCATACTCAAACAAAAAATGTTGGAGTCTCCACCAAAAAAAAATTAAAAAATTAGCCGGGTGTGGTAGTGCATGCCTGTAGTCCCAGCTACTCAGGAGGCTGAGGAGGGAGGATTGTCTGAGCCCAAGAGATCAAGGTTGTGGTGAGCCATGATCATGCCACTGCACTCTAGCCTGGGAGACGGAGTGAGACTCTAACTCAAAAAATAATAATGATGATAATAAATGCATAAGTAGGAAACATATCCCTAAGACCTGATCATTTGATGGAAATTCCACCGCATTCCAGCCTGTCCTGGGCCACAGAGCAAGATCTCAACTCCCAAAAAATAAAATAAAAAATATGGCCAGGCGCAGCGGCTCACACCTGTAATCCCAAGCAGGAGGATTGCTTGAGCCCAGGAGTTCGAGACAAGCCTGGACAACACAGGGAGGCTGGAATGCAGTGGTGTGATCATAGCAGCCTTGAACTCTTAGGCTCAAGCAATCCTTCTACCACAGCCTCCCTAGTAGCCGGGACTATAGGCACATGCCATCACGCCCAGCTGGGGATATTATTAAAAAAGATGTACATGACAAAAGGTATCATAAAGTAAGATTTATATCAGCTTGGAGTTATGAGTGCTCACAGGAACGGCCTCAACAATAACAATGGTAAAGTAATAAAATGAGATAAACATGAGGGTAGTGGAATAGCATATGGAGTATTACCACACATTTTGTTTGCTTGTTTTTTCTGTGTATGGTTGTACTCGACTCCCAGAATGGTAAAACAAATGTCCTGCATTGTCTGCCTTCTGTGAGGTTCTTGACCGCCCTTGAGAACAGATGTACCTGCTCCAGGGTGAAGGTGAGAGTGTAATTTGAAGCTAAATGAGAATGGAGCTGGATTCTAAAATTATATCCCCTCTCAGATTCACAAGTGTGTGTGCATTCAGTCGTGATGTGAAAGCCCCAAGTTCTCGCCCCTTGTGAGGACTGTCCTGATGCTGGTGGCTGAATTTAATCACACCTGAGCAAACAGGGCGGCAGGAAGGAGGTGGCAGGTTCCCGAAGCCGGGTCCTGGGGGCCTGGGCTGGATGAGTGTTGGGCTGAGCCCGGGCCCAGGCCCTCACGGTGTTTGCCCTGGGTCTGCTGGGTGCAGTGGCAGCTCATGTAGGCTTCCTCTTTTATCCCCAGGAACTCATGAAGCTGCCAGCCCACTAGCCGAAGCTCTGCAAAGCCCTGGAACCGATGTTTGCCTCCATAGCTGAGAATGGCAGCAAGGCCCAACCAGCAAAGGTGAACCTGGGACACTCCTGGACAGTGATCCTGATGTCTGTTCTGAACCGCGCACTCAAGGGAGTGATAAGTGAGTATCTGACAGGCACCTAGGGCATCACTGATCCTGCCTGCCCTCCTGGTGCCCATCTGTGTGGGCACGGGTCTGGAGGTTCAAGTTCTGAGCTTGATTTCCATCCAAAGGCCCGTCACAGGGCTGCAGTTCGGAAGAGAGGGAGAGAAGTGTCCTCGATATTAGGCCCTTTCACACGGCATGAGCCACGTGGCTCTAAGAATAGGGCCAGGCCCACACTGGCTGACATGAGTGAAGGGAGACACTACACCAGGGAGACAGTATCTGCCTTGACCATAGGGCTTTGCATTCATGCAGTGAGGGCTGTGCCTTACCTGGGACTGAACTCTGCTCAGGGCCATGAGCCGCAGGGGGTGCTGGCCCAAAAGGCTTTGGGTAGAGCATCCAGGCCCCAGGAAGTGGGGGAATCTATGGAGCCTGAGCCGCCATAAAAGTGGCCTCCAGGGGGTCAGGAGTAGCAAGTCCTCTCGCTTTCCCATGGGTCAGCAGCAGGAGCAGCAACTCCTCCTCAGTGGGATGAGCCCCGGGAAGGAGGAAGGGTGAGAGGCTCCTCCCTGTAGAGCCTCACCTGTCTCCATATCCATAGCCTTTCTTCCTGTCTTTCCAGCCTCGGTCTCTGCCTTTCTTTTTTTTTTTTTTTTTTGAGTTGGGGACTTTGTCACCCAGGCTGGAGTGCAGGAATACGATCACCACTCAGCGCAGCCTCTAAATCCTGGGCTCTAGCGATCCTCCTGCCTCAGTCTCCTGGGTAGCTGGAACAACAGGTATGCACTGCCATGCCCAGCTAATTTCTTGATATTTTGTAGAGAGGTGGTCTCACTATATTGTCCAATCTGGCCTCAAACTCCTGGGCTCAAGCAATCTTCCCACTTCGGCCACCCAAAATGCTGGGATTACAAGCATGAGCCACCGTGCCCAGCCAAATGATATTTCTTGTGGTGTCATTGTAATAGTGGAAATGGGAAACAATTGTTCCTTTTGTTGAACATCTAGGTTAAGTAAATTATAGTTTTCCATTGGTGGAATATTATACAGTCATTATAATAATGAGTACATAGGCCATATAACAATTTGGAAAGACAGTTATGATAACTGTTGCAGAACAAGTACATCAGGGTAACTTGTAAAATACACACATGGGAGAGGATCACAAGGGGAAATGATGATAGCTGCTAGTTGGGAATTCTGAATGCTTTTCTTCCCATGATGCATGGATGGGCTTTTTTTTTTTTTTAATTGGAGTCTCACTCTGTCGCCCAGGCTGGAGCGCAATGGAACGATCACGGCTACTGCAGCCTCGACCTGCTGGGCTCAGGCGATCCTTCCGCCTCAGCCTTCCAAGTAGCTGGGACTATAGGCATGCACCACCATGCCCGGCTAATTTTTTAATTTTATTTTATTGTGGAGATGTTGCCCAGGCTTGTCTCAGACTCCTGGGCTCAGGCAGTCTTCTCGCCTCTGCCTCCCAAAGTGCTGGGATTATAGGCATGAGTCACTGCGCCTGGCCCCAGATTGGCTTCTTTTAAAACAATTTAACCTAAGAGTGACTTTCTCTAAGATATGAGATTACTGGGAGGGAGGGCTTTGCTTTCTATGTCATTCCTTTCCGTAATGTTTAAATTTCAGCTGTGAGCACATGTTGCTTTTAAAGTTAGAAGAAAAAAAAAGATATTTTGGCCGGGCTCGGTGGCTCAGCCTGTAATCCCACGCCTTTGGGAGGCTGAGGGAGTGGATTGCCTGAGCCCGTGGGTTCG